GTGAGTGTTGAGCAGATTTAACTACTGTTACACATCTACCTCTCGTTTTAAAATCCGATTAACTTAATAATTTTAAAAGCAAAATTTACTTGAAGTAATCATATTACAATCACATACCTCTATACTATATATTGCTATATCCTTTACACCATTAGCTTCATTTTAACAATTGTAGCAAATTTAGAAAAACAGATCGCTAGAAGGAATATCTACATTCGGAACAACATGTTGTTCTTATTTTTGAAAAAGCATTTACCTTTGTGGAACAAAATGTTAACATGTTTCTTAATAATTGGAAAATTCAGTAAACAGATCTGGAACATAATTGGCATACATGCGGTTCTCTTCTCCTTGATGCACTCTTTGATGGCTTTTCAGGATTCCATAGTATCTAAATGTTATTACGCAAACATTCTTTGGTCAATTCAGCGAGTTCTGAGCGGCGGAAAATCAAAAGGACAAGTACGGTTCATAAATTCTTGTAAAATTAAAAATAGATAAACTTTTTATAATAATAATGTGTGTAGCGGCTGGCATTCTGCAATAGCACAGGTCTATGGAAAGAGTCAATAAACAACAAATAAGTACTAACCACTAAATATTCATACTACCTTATTTTTTCATACATGATAATGAGTATTTACATATTCAAAATTGATGAGGTGCGCCTTCTTATGATACGCAGAGGTTATCAGTCTTTCTGGGCAGGCGGGCGGGGTATTGACAGTAGAATGTGTATCAATAAGACGCTATTCTTCCACTCAACCATATACATCCAATGGAATATGGAGAGTTGCAAAAACATGTCAAAAAAGAATACAATGAATTTCGCAAATATGGAAATTTTAGATATTATTCTTTGGCAATTTCGGGGTTAAGTTCAATGTATGCCCTTAATTAGGTCTGTGAACAAGCACTAGCAGTCGGCCAACTCTGATACACGGATGTTGGTAATAAGGGCAGCCGATGACGTGGTTTTTGAAGTATGTTCACAGGGAAGAATCTCTGGGGCAGTCCTATTCTACACTTTGCTTCGGTCTTTTTCGTTTTTCGAGGTTGATAGGTTGCAGCGCTTAACACATCAGTTCAGCAACTACTTGAACGATTCAAAAAGTGCACTTTTCAGGACATTCCTATGTAATCACCCTTAACTTCGCACGTGGTGTTGAACGAGTGAAGCGGTGATTTGGGAGAAGGGACCGCGAGAGCACGCAATCTTAAAAGCGCAGAATATATCCGGGGATCTACACGAGTTTAACTGTAAATAAGATATTATCTGCAAGTGTAGGTGTGTATCATGCAAACTGAAAAGCCGGAGAAACACTCGCCTGTGGGACAGCGATTAGCGCCCTGGACTTCGTTGTTTGGGGTTATCGCTCTTTCTCCTCGCGAAGAGAATTGATCATTAGACAACAAACCGCAGGGGACGGGCTACATTGGTAAGGAGCGTTGGCTTAGGTTTGCGCCGAGTTTTTGGCAGCGCCATCTGGGCCGGAATGATAGGCGGGACGGTTGGAATGAGAGAGGTACGCGACGGTTTTGTTCCCATTCCTTTTTACACCTACGGAGGTAAAAACAAACGAACATGAGAAAACGAACCGAAAAATAAAATATGAAATAACGAAAAATAAATTAAAACGGCGATATGTGATTTCTTTAGGACTGTCAATGCACTTATTTGGCAACGTGGCCAGCGGTCTACTTTCTCCGCCTCAAACACGTTAGATTTCGTTAGTTCCTTTCACCATGATTTCTTTAGGATGTCAATTCATTTCATTTCACAACGTGGGATTCAAGCCATCAGTCTGCTCATCCGTCACACACACGCACGTACATTCTGCTACGTTCCCTTTCAAATCACCTGTATCCGAAAGAAATAAGGTGAAACGAAACTCGCGATTTGAATTTAGCTTCAGAGGCGAGCCCAAAGCTTGAAGGATCTTAAAATGCTGTTAAATCTACAAATGGGAAACAGCCAGATTTACTTTGAAGGGAGTCGTGGTGGCGTGAAATGGAGCGACGTGAATCGGAGGTCGCGGTCGCGCACAGTTCTCTCCTCGAAGGGGGTGAACTGTTGTCGTCCGCGTGAAAAGAAATGAGAACGCTGGGGGTTCGCCAGAAGAAAATGAAAAAAAGAGAGCGAAGAGAGCGAGGTGTAGCGAGGTGAAGGCGAAGAGAGTAGGCCGCGGGAAATGAGGTGGGCGCCATCTGTGCGGGTATGGAGAGGACCGTAGGTCGCCACCGTCCTTTTTTCCAAATTGTTTTTTTTTCCTGGAGGTCAAAAATGAACAACTTGTAACCAGCAAGTTCTCAGGTGTGTGTAATATATATACACGGATATATATGTAATAATTACAGATCTTGAGATTAGAATATGATAGATATCCAACGAAAAAACCGTATCTGCTGATTTCCTTTGAGGAATCAATTCAATTCCTCGCGAGACCTTTAGAACCATCAGACCCTCTTTCTTCGCTGAAGCACGCAAATTTTCGCTACGCTTCTTTCCACCTATGCTCCAAGCAAGAAAAGAAAACATCACACGATGGAGTGGGACGAAATAGGCGATTTGAAATTTAGGCTAAAAAGTTTTCTTTCTTGGCTTAGGAGGATTTTTTACATATGCAGTGGAATCTACAACGTTGGAATGGGACGGGGATTACTGTAAGATTGTAGTGTAAGTGTAGAGGCCGGAAACTTTTACTTAAACAGATTTGTGGTAAAACGACGTTACGGAATCAAGCCATTATTTTTGTGTATATGTGTGTCAAGGTGCGATTGAAGTAAAGTAATATTGTAGATTTTGACGCCTTCCTATTTTTTCTTCTGCTGTACTATTCATGGTTTATTAACCGACTTAAATAAAGATCACAGCGAACGGCATAACATAGAAATTCACAGAAAGTATTTGGAACGGCCAATTCAGTTGTTCCGGTAAGATCCCTAGCGGCGTCTTGTGGCAATTCAACAGAAAACGTACTGAACCGGTACGTGCGTCTTTTGGCATCTATTCTTTCTAGTTTTTGGGACTTATTGAAATGTCTGTCCAGAAACCGTTTGACACTATTATCCGTTTCTTACGTTACTTAACGCCTTTAAACGTTCAATCCTCAGAGTCACAGTTAAGACATCTGACTTCCCTGTCGAAGACCACTTTTCTTATGTGAAATGATAATCTTTCTAACGTACAAAAATAAGATTGTAGACAACTTAATAACAAAACATATCCGTTCTTTAAGATTCCAGACTTACATCCAGTACAATAAACTTCTCCAAACATATAAGTCATCCTGTATCTTAACGCAGTACATATGCATATTAATTGCGAATCCGTGACTGAGAAATACTCTCGATCTTGTCTCCTGTTCATCTCCTGAAGCGTTCCTTCTCCTCCTCTGCTCTTGTTTATTATTCCAGGGTCTTCTAACAGCCAGCCTTGTGCTTATGTGGTAGACAAATGAAACATAACCTAACCGTCCGTTACGGTTGGAAATGCACCCACCTGGATTTTTCATGATTTTTCGAGGATTGGCTGTTCGAAAGAAGAACGTGGAATAATAAATCGTGTCACCTATCGTAAAAATAAACAATTTGTTTTCAAAATAAATTTATTAATATTGTACAAACTATATTTTTTATGCATTTAATTTCGAATTTTGTAATGTTAAAAATTTTTGAAGTATTTCCACGAATAAAAATTGTTTAAATTACATATTTTTTATATATACTACTTAGATTACAAACTTTCTCCTGATCAAAAAATGTAATTGTGAAAATTAGAACCGCCCAGTTTAAAGTTGTGTAAATGATTAAAATATGTTAAACCATTAAAATCTTGTTTAATATAAATTGAAGCAATTTATCAATTTAGACGACTAATTTGTTTACTGGACCTGCTCTTCTTCCCCTGTTTGGATATCGACTAGTAAAGTCCACGCACTTGTTTAAACAAAAACAGTCTACCTGTGACTGTTATTGGGGGTGTAAGCGCCTTACATTTCTCCGTTTTCCCTCCCACAAAACACATAATCTGAATGCCTGAATTGACCTGTTTATAATAAAACCACCATTTCAATAGGGATTGTATCAAACAAGATTTTCCCATCGTTCACAACAGAGGGTAAAAAAAATATTTAAAAAACCTCTTCGTAGTTTTGTTTCTTCTCTGGGGGATGCTTTCCCACAGAGTTTTTTTTTTTTTTTCAGTGCCTCAATAACTGGCCCACATTAATGAGCTCTGTACATTAATGGTCCGTTATGCAAATGGACATGTCCGGATGTCTCCGTTATTTAACGGGGATTAATCTAAATGCGCGCGTTCCAAATTGCGGGTTTCAATGAACTGTTAAATATGGGGTATTTTCAGCGGCCAAATCCGTTGTACCCGCTCAGATACGCTAATTAGAGCTTAAACGGGCTAGAGGAGAGGTTGGATGGGTAGGAAATTTTGTGTTTGGAACGCTTATACAGTGAGTGACGCTCGTAAAGGTTCTACTATCGGAAATGACAATTCCTCATGTAAAAGAATTGTGTGGCTGGATGAAATAGGTATTTTATTCTTCTAAACCAAAGTTCAGTAGGTCAGCATCTTGGGCTTCACGATAAATTCAGTTCCAACTTGAAAAAAAAACGAGGATTTTGGGTCGTAAGTACATAGAGGAGATAGAGTTACGTTAATCAGATACGAACCCCCTGTGTATGTTTATGGTCGGCGACTGATGCGAAATGGCCCTGACATAAAAAAAAAAAAAAAAAAAAAAAATCGTTCTTTGATGATGCCACAGCTCAAATTGGGCTTTGACCTGTTATCTCTGCCCTTGTGATTAAACTGGTGTCTTCTATTCTTTGCAAGAAAATTACATCAGACTAAGATATAACATCGAATTCCATTGTG